TGTGCCTCATATTCAAATGTAAGGGCTGTTCGAATAGAACACGCTAATGTGTTGTATTCGAATAGGACGCGTATGCTTTAGAAGACGTATGCGTTAGAACGCATATCTAACGCGTATGTGTCCTATTCGAATACAACACATACGCGTATGTGTTAGAAGGGATATGTGTTAAGAGCGCATGCATTAGAATTGAGAACGCACATGTGATCTAGTCGAATAGAAAGCAATCTATATGCATTGATTCAATTGCATTGTACTCTAATAATAGAAAGCAACCTGTGAGTTGTTGTGTATTCGTTTACAAATGCAAATGCAAATGCAAATGCAAATGCAAATGCAAATGCGAGAGGAGGAGTGTATTTAAGATGTTGTGTATTTGTTCAGGGGAAGAAAAGACTGTAGTGTGAGAGTCCGCGATGAACAGTTCCAGCAAGCGCTTCATGCGAGAGGAGTAGTGTATGAGAGTCCGCGATGAACAGTTCCAGCAAGCCTTCATGCGAGAGGAGGAGTGTATAGTACCTTGGTACTCGTGATGATGGGCTGTAACATTGTCATGGCAAAGTACAAATTTGCCGCTCCTGGAGAAAGGGGGATGCGAAAAAAAGACAAAAAGGAAAGGAGGAGCACGGTTTGTCGGCTGACTGGCATTGTCTTTCTCAGACTACCGTCTTCACCAGAATAGAACACCCTGTCATTATAACTGTATTTGGCACAACTTTCAGCCCAGATATGGCGATAACTACCGGGCGGGTGAAGACGGTAGCACACGCTTGGCATCCATATCACACTACAATTTTAAATAATCAATCACACCATTGTTTCACAAAGTTTCTGGAACACTTGCAGGAAAGTTGAAGATATAGTCCATACCATGGATAAATTAAATTCATGGAGAAAGGCATCACATGTTCACTGTACGTCTAAAAGACGTAGATTCTTCGGAGTCGGGGGGAGCTGTAAAGTTCTCTCTTACCACTGGGCTATTTGCTGGGAACCCCTATGAATGGAGTACACTGCTATTCAAGTGTTTTTTTTGCTGAAGGTCGGCGATTAAACCGCCAGCACTTTTCCCAGCTATTTTTTTTTCAGAGGCGCGCCAGATAACGTGCTGGAGGCCGGAAACGGAAGGGTGGCTGGCTGCCGATGAATCGAATGGGCGGGTAAGTCTTGACGTTCAGCCTGGCGTGCAGTGCCCGCGGCCGACATAGGGGAAAGGTGCTGGTGGTTTAAACCCTCCTGTACCCCACCCAGCTACTGACGCCGAGCCTAAATTCGCTCTGCGCGCCAAAAGGAAACGAACCAATGCAGGCCTGCTTTTGGCCGGCGCCACCGGCCATTTCGGTTGGGACCAAAGGGGCGATTTAGACAGATGCCCAACAGCAAATCAAATGATGTCATCCATGTGAGAGAAAGAGAGGGAGAGAGAGAGAGAGAAGAAGAAGAAGAAGAAGAAGAAGAAAGATGAAGAAAGAAAGAAAGAAAGGAGGTAGACACAATCATCACAGTCTTCCCGAAACGCGACCGTACGGCCGTGAATGAATTTAAACGTGGATACACCGCCGATACATCGAAAGATGAACATTAACACTGGCACAGCCACCCGACGCTGCGTTTCGTCCGGCCGCCTACCGGAACTCGTCAGGGGTCTCAAAGTCGCAAGGAAAGGGACTGGACAAATGATAGAGACTGCTCAAGTAGCGACAGAAAAAGCCAAGTGACATATCACCTCTGGCCTAAGAAATAAGAAATAATTGTGACTGAAAAGCAGTCAAATCCATACGCCCCCCACGGATAGCCGAACCGTCCTATCGAAAAAGCCACAGCCCATCCAAAGGAGGCGTGAAGCCAAGAAGGTTCCAGACACAGCTATACCAATTTTCTTACACCAAAAAACCCCGTACAAGCAGTCCACTTCCAAAGTGACCACTTGTCGAACACTGCATGCCCAGTCCAGAGACCACTGAAAATATCGGGAAAATTTTTTCTTTTTTCCAAGGAATCTGCAAAAAAATCAGAAAATAAGAAAAGGAAAGAAAATGAAATAAAAATACAAACAAAGGGAGCATGGGTACCCCCAGTGAAACCCACGTCGAGTGCCCTTTACCAGCCGTGGCAGCAACCTCCGAATATCCCGATCTGATTACCATCACATAAACAAAGCCTCCCAGCCAGTTAGGCAGACGACCCAGTCGTCCCAAATCCCTCCGAATTTCTTCGAAAAGTTGCGCAGGCCATTGTGGAAGTACTCATCAGGAAAATTTCTCTTACGCAAGTCGATCTTCAGAGTAAACAGAAAGGCCACCTCCATGCCACTCAAAGTGGTGTACGCTTTGGCCCTGTGGAAACAGGAGCCAATTACCGCCATTTTCTGTTGCTTGTTCGAGTATGAGTGGAAATCCTGCAGATTCTGAAAACGCAACGCTGCCTCGTTGAAAAATCTCTGATTCTTGTGAAGAGCCACACTTTGCACTCCCCAGGGCCAGTCGAAATACCTTCAGGATGCACCCCAGGAAATCCCAGCAATCCGCATCACTAGTACGTTCCAAGGTGAGATTTGAGTCATAACAGCAGCCAAACGTTTCCAAGATTTTTCGGGCCAACACAACAGATTCCCGATCCCCATGAACATAACGTACGAAGATTGACACATCGTCTACCATCCGAATGCCGTTGACAAGCTTCCTATCACTTCCTAATGATGAAAGAAACCGAAATTCATTATACGCACACAGAAGGCATGTTAGAGCCGGACTAGACGACTTGCCCATTGGAATGCCAACCTTTTGCTGCATGACTCGACCACATGCTTTGACATAAGTACAGTCAAGGTCAAACCCCACCAATTTAACCAACAACTCAAAAGAGATGGAACTCCATCGCACCTGCACACCTCCAAATCTCAGTTTGGCGCCTTTACCTTGTTTCTTGATGAGACACCTGTACGGCCTCTTATCAACCAGAAATCGATGACCCATTTAACTGCATGCAGAATGGACTGATGTGGCAAGTTACAAAACATCTCTTTGATGTCGAACGCCGCACCCAAAAACTTCTCTCCTTTCTGTAGATCCTTATTTACTCTGCACACGATCGGCGCCAGATCAGACATGCTCCTTAAATTAAAATTAGTCCCCGATGGCAACTCCCAAAGCAGTTGATTGATAGCCTGTGCCGCCTTTTTACTGGCTCTAATCCCACATTTTGAGTGAGTGGGGCAAATAGGCCTCCATTTCGTGATGTCTTTGTGCTTCGGTACAACATACGCCTGCCCCAAACTTCCTCCAGCGTCCCATTTACCGAGGGCCTCGAACCCTTCATGTCGAAACCAATCAGCACATCTCTCTCGAACAATCGACTCATCTCGACACAACTCCAAACCACGGTTATTCAAGAAGAGCATATCCACACCACGCCTATAGACCTTTTGGCAACAAACTAAGGTGTCGCCCGCATTGTGGTCTATGGGGACCCTCACCAAATCCCCAAACATGTCTTTCCAACGAAGGACAGTGTCTAAACCGGAGTGTAGCCCATTCTGCACGACTTTGGTATTATGAAAACACAAATCCAGCGACTCTTTCCGAACCATACCATGGCTAACCTTAGGTAAAAACGACATCTGATCAAAAGATGCAGAAATCTGTCGCAGCAAGCCTCGCCGTGAAGTGTGAAGGGTGGGGAAGGGGATATTACGGGAGTTTTTTAGGAAATTGGGCACAAAGTCAACTTCCGACAACCGAAAACAGATGTGGTCGTCAACACGCGGGAAAACCCGGCTAGCGCTCTCGCAATCACACACATGCTCAATCTGTCGAGAGACATCCCGGAAATTGAACAGAACATCACCAACACTTGAATTCTTCATCCACACCACTCTCATCCTCCTTGCCACCATCTCACGCACACAACCAGGAACATCGAACCCTCGTAAAAGATCACAACAGAATTTTCTAATTCCACACTTGATAAGGCCAACATCATACGTAATTCTCACAACTAGGCGGGCACGAATATTAAATCCAAAACGTTTTCGGATAGCCCCGGACACCGCACAACGCAAGGTAAATCTAGTCTGTTTCTCCTTAAAACAACGAATGGCAGCAAACAGACCCACAAGCTTATCCAAGTCCCACTGAGACAAATCTCTGCGTGTACATGGTTCCTTCAAGAAGCCAAGCAAAGTAGGTTTGAGACAAAGCAAGGTTGAGAAAGAATACAGAATTGAATAGAAATGCAAGACAATTTCATACCCCAGCCATCCACGACACTTCCTGAGCAAATCTTTCCCAAAGATAGTGCCAACAAGAGAACATCCAAAAGTACGTCGGACAACCTTCTAGTTGTCAACCAAAAAGTCCCCGCCAGCGCATCGTACCGTTAACTCCTCCCCACGAGATCGAGCACTATCAAGGAGGCTTAGCAGACTGGCCGAACAAACCCCATCATTAGTGACGAACGTCGTGTGCACGTGGCTCGTTCCTCGATAATACCCCGCCTCTTCCTTCTCTCGCGTTTACCAGGTCTACGCTTCCTCCGACGCGCCGGTCTGTCTCTACTATTCAAAAACGGATTACACCTTCGAATCACAAACCTTTCCAAACCTATGAGATCCGACTTCTCACATCGAAACAAAGGAATAGGAACATAATGCTCTGGCCCACACCTTCTCAACCAGTTGTACAACCTATGATTACGATCCCCACGCTCGACTACCTTGCTACTACACGCACGATACACATGTTCTCCCCATCGCACATCCAAGCTCCGACCGGTAGATCCGGCATAAACATGCTTATGCCAGGGCGACACCAAAACGTAAACCAAAGGCCCTTGACAACGAAACAGATCAACTCCATCAATAATCGATAATAGATACGAACGAAACTTCGTACACCAAGGAACTAGGCCACACAAGATTATAATCAGCACTACACTCTGAAAGAAGGAATTCCATTCGTAATTTCTCAAGTGCGAGGTGGAGAAGGACCTAGACTTACGACAAGAGTTCGCCAAATCCCAAAGGGTCGCGTCTCGGAAGTCCCATTAGGCAGAGTCAGACTGGACTCCCACTACCTCCGCGTCGCAGCTATCCCCATCTGCACTCGATCCAGGATCTTGGCTCGTGCCAGCCTTGTCCCCACCACCACGCTTGTCTCCAAATGCTTTGTCTGCATTGATTTCCGCAATTTCGTCAACCGTAGCGTCCACCGTTTTGTATTTGATCCCGACTTCCTTACATAAAATCTCCAACCCGCCTTTCTTCAGTGCCCTGAGCCTCTTCTTTTCTTCAAGCAAAAAAGCAAATCTGTCATTCACTTTCATGGCGCTTTCATCCCTTGGCAATCTACCCGGTGTCATCTTCATTCGACCGCGCCTCACCGTGCAGAAGCCAGAAAGAACCGCCTCGTCCATTTTGTCTTTGAGATTGGTTCCTTGAGCGCGAGGAGTAGCCCCACCGGCCGGATCAGTAGTTAACTTCCCCATCTTATCTTTTAGCTGAGTCAACTCAACCTCCGCCTCCAGACGACGAGCTTCGGCTTGAGCTCGTCGCTCTTTCAACATGTCAACCTCAACCTGATCACATCTACGGCGTTCCTGCAAATCCTGAAGCTCCGCGCGCAGACGCCTGGTTTCTTCTGGAGTAGTCGCCAGCCAGGTACGGGTCACCGTTCGTCCTTCACTGGCCGGAGTGGCAATGTTGACGCACCCACGTTTATTGCCCGGTCGAAGGGCTTCGTTTCTCCAAAGATGCGCTACCTCCTCTGATTCTTCACTGCGTTTCCGTAACGTCTCCATTTCCGTTCGTCGTTCTTCAATCTGCTTGGTGAGATTGCTCCTTCCCACCGACTCATGATGCTCCTTAAGGTCGCGGATCTCCCACTTGAGAGCCGCTAAATCGCCCTCCATCCTTACTTTCAGTTCTTCCCCAAACTTCTTAAGTTCCCCGTTCTCCTTCTGTAAACGATCCACCAAATTAGTGGACGGCATCTGCTCCGTGATACCGTATTTGGTACACATCTCCTCGTTCTCTCGCCGAAGCCGACAGACCTCGTCATCAACAGGGCCGCCGCCCGGCTTACTTACACCTTTGCCCATGATAGCATCATACATGGGAGCCAAACGGCTCTCGAGTCGTTGTGCCATTTGACTTTCGAAATCTTCCCGTTCCTTCTTCACCCTAGCCGCCTCTTCTTCTTTTGCACGCTGTTGCCTCACTCGTTCCTCCGCATCCCGCTCCTCCCTTTCCTTTTGCTCGGCCTTGCTAACAAACGCGTTGCATTTATCCAAGATTTGTTGATTCCGGGTCCACCAGCCCGTACGTGGTTGAGCGGAGTAAGCATCAGCGAACGTCGTCGGCACCACAGCAGGCTTCCGTACTGCAGGAGCAGGAAGAGCCAAAACGGGCTGAGCATTCGCACCCGTTGCCACAGGTGGTCTCCGATGCAGATTTCGTGGGTGCGGACATTCACGGGACCAGTGTCCCAATTCTCCACAGTTGAAACACTCGTTACGAGGAGGAGGCGCCGCCGTAGCAACAGCGACCGTGGACTAAGGAAAGCAAGAGTAGACTAGGGTAGACAAGGATAGACAAGAAAACCACACGATATGACTATCAATACGCGCGAAACGAAGCCACACTACCGTAATCTAATTGTTACGGTGGTTACAATTGTGAGCAGCTAATTTAGACAGATGCCCAACAGCAAATCAAACGATGTCATCCATGTGAGAGAAAGAAAGGGAGAGAGAGAGAGAAGAAGAAGAAGAAGAAGAAGAAGAAGAAAGATGAAGAAAGAAAGAAAGAAAGGAGGTAGACACAATCATCACAGTCTTCCCGAAACGCGACCGTACGGCCGTGAATGAATTTAAACGTGGATACACTGCCGATACATCGAAAGATGAACATTAACACTGGCGCAGCGGCCCGACGCTGCGTTTCGTCCGGCCGCCAACCGGAACTCGTCAGGGGTCATCAGGGGTCTCAAAGTCGCAAGGAAAGGGACTGGACAAATGATAGAGACTGCTTAAGTACCGACAGAAAGAAAAAGTCTACCGGACGCTAACTGATAAGCCAAGTGACGTATCACCTCTGGCCTAAGAAATAAGAAATAATTGTGACTGAAAAGTAGTCAAAGGGGCGGATGGAAGGGGGTTGAGAGAAAAGGTAAGCAAAGCAAACCCCTCTGCGAGAGACAGGAGAGGACCGAGACCCAAGCTTCCCAAACAACACCCTTAACGAGAGTCAGATAATTCTGAGAGGGCTTTAGAAAAACATGTAAGCCTGCCTGAGCTCCCTCCTCAAAGCGAGCAAACACAAGCCCACTCCTCTGACATTGAAGGAGGGGGCTAATTAATACCCTACTTACCGAGATGACACTTCTTCTTCTTCTTTTTTTTTTTTTTTTTTTTTTTTTTTTTTT